TGTGTCTGTTACCACTTTTTCTCAGCTCACACCGAACCGATTTCTTTCAAAAATACGTCAAAAGATCACAAATCGTATCTAGTTGAAGACATTACCCTTAAAAATTAATAATAATAATGTAATGATCCCTCCCAAAAAGACTGGCCGTTATTGATTTGAATTGCCGATAGATAGGTGTTGGCTCTTCATTTTCCTTCTGTCATTGACCGTGCTAGAGTCCACATGTTACTTGTCATTATTTTTTCAAAGATAGAGTAGAGACGCAAACGGCTAGGTCTTTTCGGCGAAGCATCCAGACCATCTCTTTTCGGAGACATGGTCTCTTCGGAGACGGGGATTGTTTTCTTTTTTATAATTATATTTATGTAATGAGCTATATTTTTATTAATTATTTTATTTCATTTTTGTTTTATTATAGGTTAAATTAATTTTATTTTTGTGCGGAGAGACACGTGTTCCCTCTTTATTCTAGCCAACGCTAAGGAGCGAGTGTTCAGACCGCTCCTGGTGTTTTTTATTAATTTCCTTGCTATTATAGCTAGTCGTTATGCAAATGATAAACCACGTTGATGTTACAGGCCGATAAAAAGCCCATTTGCAAACGTAAAATTTAAAATAGATGTATCTAGTTGTACTAATTATGCAAATTTCATGCAATAATTATAAATAAAAAATTATATTTAGAATCTACACATTACTAAATGTTGACACTTTTGATCAAAATTATTCATTTAGGTTATTGAAGAATATTCATTTGTATAAAAATCCGGGTCTTAGTAATGACTGTATCTGTAGTTCATGTTGAGACTGTTGAATGGTTACTACGTAAATACACATTAGATATGAATGTATTATTATACGGTGATTACAATTTACCTCAGATACGTTTTACTTGTAATGATATTGGCTTAATATGTAGTGGTCGAACTTCACTTCGTTCAAATATAATTTTTGATTATTTTTCATCGCTCAATCTGTACCAATTAAATAATACTTTAAATGTTTTTAATTCTCAACTCGATCTGGTTTTTTCAAATAATCCACTCGTTAAAGTTATGCCATTAGACAATAGTTTAGTCCCGATTGATCAATATCACCCAGTATTAACTACAAAGTATACCATTAATATTTCTCCCTATCATGAATGTTCGAATTCTTGTTATTATAATTTTAATAAAGCAAATTATGATTTGATAAATTTCATAATAGCTATTTATGACTGGTCTAATGTTTATAAGCTAAATGATGTAAATGCCGCTTTAAATATCTTCAACGAAGTATTATTAGACGCAATTGAACAAACGGTTCCCAAAACCGTAATTCAAAGTTGTCCTTAAACAACATGAAATCTATCCTCGATGGGTTTCTAAAGAATTGCGTGTGTTAATTAAAGAGAAAAAATGTTTACACAAATTGTTTAAGTCAACTGGTAACAATGCTGATTATGTGATTTTTTCTGCGATAAGGAAAAAATGTAAGACAATGTCTAAAAATTGTTATAACAAATACATTGAGAAAATCCAATCTTCTTTGTCTAATGATCCAAAGTACTTCTAAAGTTTGTTAAAAATAAACAAAAATCTAATATTATTCCCTGTCACCTAACTGATGGCGCTGTTGCAGTAAATAATATGGAAGACACTGTAAATTTATTTAAAACGTATTTTGAATCTAGCTACAGTCATGTGAATAATAATACTCTTAACGTACAATGCTATAATACAGACATAAATTTTAGTAGTTGCGAATTTACTGTTATCGAAATATTTGAAACTCTCCGTAATTTATCTTATAACTCGAAAAGTGGCCCAGATCAAATCCTCGAAATAGTTTATAAAGAATGTTATTTCACATTAACACGCCCCATACATTATTTATTTAATCTTTCGTTATCGACAGGATGTTTTCCAGACAAATGGAAATCTAGCTTTATCTATCCTATATTTAAAGCAGGTAATCGAAGTACAGTTATCAATTACCACCTTATTTCCCAATTATGTTCACTGCCTAAAACTTTAGAAAAATTATTAGTACCTAAATTTGTAACTGAGTTTAATAAGATAATTTCTGATAACCAACATGGTTTTCATTACACGAAGTCAACGATGACTAATCTATTAGTTTACTTTACGGACCTTATATCATTGATAAGTAAAGGTATTCAGGTTGATGCTGTTTACACTGACATTAGAAATTCATTTGATAGTGTTAATTTGTTTATTTTGATAAAAATGTTAGAATGTAATGGTATTGTTGGCCAAATGCTTAATTGGCTTAAATCATATTTGATTGGCAGAACACAACAAGTAAAACTAGGTAACTTTGTCTCATCAGTTATAAATGTTACATCAGGTGTTCCCCAAGAAGGACATTTATCGCCCATTTTATTTTAATATTTATAAATGACGTCAAAGATACATTCAAAAACAGTAATATCTTAATGTTCGCCGACAACTTAAAACTATATATGCCTATTTATTCACGTGAGGACTGTTTTAAATTACAAACTGATTTGGACTCGTTTTATTTATGGTATTTGTTAAATGGCTTAAATGTAAATGTAGAAAAATGCTCACAAATTTCGTTTTCTCGACGTAAATCAAAGATTATCTTCCAATATAAAATAAATAGTTCAGAATTATTGATTGTAACTCAGATAAGAGACCTAGGTATCTTACTAACAGATGATTTATCTTTTAACAATCACATTACTTTGATGTGTAACAATGCTTTCGAATTTTCGGTTTTATTAGGCGTAATTGTTCAGAATTCAAAAATCCAAATTGTTTAAAAAAATTATATTTTTCTCTATTCCGTTCCATATTAGAATATGGCTCAGTTATCTGGAATCCATATCAAACTAATTTAGTTAATAAGATTGAACGCGTTCAGAATAGATTCTTACGAGTACTTGCATTTAAAACATGCAAAACCGATATGTCGCTGGAGAATATAGCGGATGAGTACAGAATCGAATTACTTGAAAATAGAAAAAAGTTTTACGATGCAGCTGGGTTACACAAACTACTTAATTCTTCAATCATATGTCCCGAGTTACTTGGATAAATACCTATAAACGTCCCTCAAATTAATGTGTCACAAACGTTCTATACATCTACTTACCACAAAACTACAGTCTTTTCGCACCGATTAATGTTGTTTTTAGCTTCGATGCGAAGCTGAGAAGGTATTGGTTTTACTAAGATGTGTTTTTTTTTTTTTTTTTTTTTTTTTTTTTCCC